CTCGTATTAGTTACGTCTGAAATGAAGTCTCCCTTTGGAGCTTCCTAAAGAGGCTGTTTTTGCTTTTCTTAACTTTTTTATCGTCAAAGGGTTAATTTTTCATGTTATCTGCTGGTCTAAGCTCTCACTTGCATTGCAATGAAGTTTTTTTTTTCTTTTTGCTGATAATTGGAAGTGAATGATAAGATAAAAAAAAATTCACTTAATAAGAACTGTTATTAATTCTGCAATTTGGATAATACTAATGAATCTTGCCATATTTTATTATTATTATTATTATTATTATTATTGGAATTTCCTCTTTTTAAAGCTGTTATGACGCCCACGTATCAATTACTTTTCAGCATGTAGTGCATTTATCTTGTACAATTTGAGAAAAGTTAGATATGAAGACCAATTATAAGTTTGAGAAATTTCTATCCTCTGCTTTCTTAGGACTAAATATTATCTTTGGACATTTTAAGTTCACATGTTTCAGAAGAAAAAAGAAGGTTATAAAATAAAAATGTACTTCTTGGCATGAAAGTTCTAAGTGTTCTCAGTTTAAGGAGAAATGTTAGTAAGTTTTTCTACTAATCATATGCTGTTGAAGTACTAGGGCGCCTTCTCTCATTTCTGGTTCTTTCTATTAGCTATAGTTTATACTTAATGTCTTACTATATTTGATCTTTACTTCGTATATTTTCTTGCTATAGTCCCCCACATATTGCCTTTAATGCCCTGCTTATCTTGGCTTTCTCAGGGTTCCATCTGAGGTTTCTTATCCTATCATAGTAAAAAGAGGGCATATTATATTCTGTTAGCATGGCGACAGAAAGTCCAATCAGAATGTCCGAAACTAGTGGAAAATGGGCTTCCCATAAGAAGGCTGCAAAAATTGCACCATCCTCTGCTAATATGGCAGCAGAGGAGTTGAAATTGCTTCTGAGGGGCCATAGGCTACATAGCAGCGAAAATGATGCTTCCCCTAATCGAAGTGGAAGTGCACCCCCGACCATGGAGGGTTCGTTTTTATCCATTGATAACCTTCTATCCCAGCAGCACTCTAGCACGACTGGAAGCTTGGCAAGTCTAAGTAGTGTTATTGAAAGGTGTGAATCTGAGGAACAATTACTTGCTGATCCAGCTTATTTGGCATATTACTGTGCCAATGTCAATCTTAATCCTAGACTTCCTCCTCCACTTATCTCGTGGGAGAATAGACGCCTGGTACGCCATATTGGTAGTTTCAGCCAGAATTGGGGACCTGTAGATGACAGTGGTAATGCTCCTTTGCATGTGTCTCAGGGATCACTTCCTACACACAAGGAAGAATCTGAGGATGACCAGTCACCCAAACAGGTTTCTAGTGATTGGGTAGATCAGACAAGCCAAATTTGGTCTGAAGAGGATGCAGCTTCATTGGTAGGCCAACACAAAAATGCGGGTGATTTAATACAGGTTAAAAATCGATACCTTGAAATTTTATTTACCAAGGTGCATATGTTCTTATTTTTACTTACCTTGAGAATTTCATTGAATATAATTTTTCTAGTTAGGCTGTCAAGTTTTGAATCATTTTCACTTATTGACAAATGAAATAATTGTTTTATCATACTGTGAATTCCAAAGAATATTACTGCTAGCAAAACACTGGAGTTGATGTGGAATAAGTAATGACTGATTGCTTTTAGCTTGCTCTCATTACAATGTCATGGTTGTAAATGCAAAACCATCTTTTATTTCCAGGAAGATTTTGGTGGCTCTCCACAACCTGTATATAATCACTCTCGTACCTTAGGCAATGAAATACCTGAGGAATTCATTGATCAAAGACCTGTTTCCAGTTCCTTGCATGATCCCCCTATTAATGTGACAGCTGCCATTAGGACCACCATGGTTGCAACTTCTGCAGATAATACAGTACTTTCACTAAATGATGATTCCTCACCAGCCCCTATTGCAAGTTCTTCATCTCTTGATTTTACCAGGACTACAGGGATTAATGATGCTGGTGTTGCAGTTATTGAATCTGAAATGAAGGCTCTTAATGTATCTAACATGCTAGAGAATAAAAAAAATCAAGAACAATGGCAGCGCAGCTACCAGAATCATTTTCCGCAACACCAGATACACCAACAACAAAACAGTTTATCTCAACTTCAAAGTGGCAAGTCCCAAATAGCTTCCCAAGGAGCATACGTTGGCATGGATCAGTATCTCCATAGCACCACCAAGTTTGCAGCGGATGTACAGCCATTACTCCAGACATCTGGGTTCACACCTCCACTATATGCAACTGCAGCAGCCTACATGAGTTCAGCTAATCCATATTATTCAAATTTTCAGGCACCGGGCGTTTTTCCTCCACAATATGTAGGTGGATATGCTTTAAACCCCACTGGCTTTCCTCCGTATATTGGTGGATACCATCCTCCAGGTGCTGTTCCTGTTGTTGTTGATGGAACTGTTGGTCCAAGCTTTAATGCTCATACATCTGGGGTTGCTAATGGTGGCAGCATTTCACCTGGTGCTGATATGCAACATTTAAGTAAGTTCTATGGGCAACTTGGCTTTCCACTGCAAACTTCTTTTTCCGATCCTATGTACATGCAGTACCATCAACAACCTTTTGTGGAGTCATATGGTGTTTCTAGCCAATTTGATTCATTGGCATCTAGAGGTGGCCTTGACTCAAAGAAAGTGTCCAATCATGCTACTTATTTGGATGACCACAAAATCCAACAACAGAGAAATGGAAGCCTGGGGAATTTGAACCCACAAAGAGGAGGGCCAGTGAGTCCCAACTATTTTGGAAGTGCACCAAATGTTGGTATTTTGATGCAGTATCCAACCTCACCCCTTAGTGGTCCAGTGTTGCCAGTATCCCCCATAAGTTCAGGTAGAAATACTGGCTTGTATTCCGGATGGCCAGGGCAAAGAGGCTTTGATAGTTTTGATGACCCCAAGATTTATAATTTCCTTGAAGAGTTGAAATCTGGAAAAGGCCGCAAATTTGAGCTGTCTGACATCACAGGACATATTGTTGAATTCAGGTAAGTTCATTTTGTGCTCAAATTTTGATTTCTTTAATAATTTTTTTTAAACAAGTAAGTCATCATGAATTTTTCAACTCCAGTGCTGATCAACATGGGAGTCGATTTATTCAGCAGAAGTTGGAAAACTGTAGTGCTGAAGAGAAGGCTTCTGTATTCAAAGAAGTTCTCCCACATGCTTCTAAACTAATGACTGATGTTTTCGGTAACTATGTGATTCAGAAGGTACGTTTCTATTTTTTCTTATCTATATGCAGTTAAAGAAATGTCATGGTTCATGCCATTTTATTAATTTCCATTTCCTTTCATTTCAGTTTTTTGAGTATGGAAGCTCTCAGCAGAGGAAGGAACTTGCCAAACAACTTTCAGGTCAAATTCTTCCTTTAAGTTTGCAGATGTATGGCTGTCGTGTAATCCAAAAGGTATGTGAGTGTGATAAGTGTTGCTAAAATATGTGTGGCTTACTAACTTCATGTTGCAGATTTATGTTTTTATGATTTGCAATTCTATAACACGACTCAGCTTTTCCTTTTTATGGGTGTAGATAGTCGAGAACAGTTTTAGAGGGGTCTTATGATTGAATTGATTGATATCTTAGCTTGACTTGTCTTGAAGTTTTGCTAAATTTTATCTTCATTTTTTTTTAGTAGTGTACCTCATTCATATATATTTGAAGGCGCTGAAGAGGTCTTCGATATTAAGTGCTATTACTAGTGATGTTTAGAAGTAAACAACTGAATGCAGGTCCATGTGGCGGTAATTTATTAGGTTCCTGTAATTTGTAAATCTACATTTTCTTGGGTAAAACACAATTTTGGTCACTGTGTTTAGGCCTGAAAACACATTTGGTCACTGTATTTCATTCTGTTATCAATTTAAGTCCAGCTTTTAACTTCTGTTAACTAAAACTAAAATAATTCTGTTTAAAATTAGAAAATAAGATTAAAATAGAAAAGAACCTTGGAAAAAATTAAAACAATAAAACCCAGTATCCCTGCCCTATATACCACCCACCATCCCTGCCACTCCAACCCACCAAGCTCTCTCTTGAATTGATCCTCCCTCTCTCTCAAATAGATCCTCCCTCCCCCCTCACCAGCCACCACCCCAACCTCAGTGCAACCCCCATCTTCCGCACCCAACCCTACCCTCATGCTAATCTTTAATAGCCACCCTCTAATTCATAATAAACTGATGGGTTTGTTTGTTTTCAAGACTGAAACTTTGTTATTATCTGATTATATGGGCTTGGCTGGAAAATGAGATCTCTAACAAGCTGCCAACAATATTTGCATAATGTAATTGGAACTGGAAGCAAGCTGCATAACATAATTGCCTTACTAGCATAATGTTCTTTCTTGTCCCAATTGTAATGCTTATATTACATACTATTTTTGTGGGTGCAGGCACTTGAGGTTATCGAGATTGAACAGAAAGTACAGCTTGTACATGAACTGGATGGACATGTTATGAGATGTGTTCGTGATCAAAATGGAAACCATGTCATACAAAAGTGCATTGAGAGCATTCCGACAGAAAAAATTGGGTTTATAATATCTGCTTTCCATGGTCAAGTTGCAACACTTTCAATGCACCCTTATGGTTGTCGTGTTATACAGGTATACTAAACTTGAGGGGTTTTCGCACTTCTCTTCCCCACTTTAATGTTCTTCCTTTGGTTATCACACAAAGAATGAACTTGTTTCCTGTGTTTGGTTCATTGTAGAGAGTTCTGGAGCATTGTACAGATGAGCTGCAATGCCAGTTTATAGTTGATGAGATCTTGGAGTCTGTTTGTGCTCTTGCCCAGGACCAGTATGGCAATTATGTAACCCAGGTTTGTATTTGGCTCTGTACTATAATTACTATCTAATTATGACTTAGTCTGTCTCTGATGAGTTAAGGTGCCTTTCTAAAGATATTATTTATGCATACCGGCAACTTAGTCGACTTCTTGGTGGTAATTCTTAATATAGAGCTAGCACAGTCACATGTTTATAATGAGAATTTTCGCTCTCATATAGGAAGAGGATAGCCATACATTGGCAGTTCTAGAATCCTTAATCGTTTCAGTAAGACTCCTGTTCAAATCTCTTTTCAGATTCTGCCTAAAGATTATAGTTTATTTGTTAGGTCTTAGGTTCAAAATTTAACAGAATGACTAAGTATATTGCTGAGTAAGCAATGAGATAGTACACTATGCTATGCAAGTAATTGTTTGGGTAACTTTTTTGACAGAGGCTTTAGTTTGTGAAGAAAGAGGCTTCCAATAGTAAGAATAATTCAGATGGTCTAAATGGTTTGAAAAGGAATGCCTACTCCAGAAGTTGAGTAGTCCACAGGAGTGGGCTTGTGGCTAAGGGTGTAAATGAGCCGACCTGAGCCAAGCTTGAACAAGATGAAAGAACAATTGAGCTCGAGCTGTATCAAACTAATTTACAGTGATAAGTTGGCCCGCTTATATAACAATATCTTCAAGCTGGGAAAGATTAATGATAAATAGTGAATACAAATATAGATATTTTTTTTATAAGAAAAATAAAAATATAGATATAAACATAATAATTAAGATTTATCAGCAAGGACATTGGTCTTTAATATTTAAAAAAAAAAAACATTCTTCAACATTAACTTTAAAAGTAGAAGCACAACATGGTACTATAAGAACAAGACATAGCCCATATAAGCATCAAAGAAAAGAAAATAAACAAAATGCTTTGATTTTGATAGAATTGCTTTGTAATCATCATTCAAAAGATCCTTCATTCCAAGTAAACTTCTTATAAACAAGATGTTCATGAGCTTTACGCGCCGAGGCTTGGCTTGCTTTTATAACAAGCTGAGTTCAGATGACCCAAACTCGATATGAACTCAAGTTGTATAGAGCCAATTTACAGCTGTACTTGCTGCTCAGTGTCTGAGTCTACTCCAGAAATTGCCTGCCACACATACATGCTTACACTGTTACACACACAAGTTTCTATGTGAAATGACAACAGGAGAGGTGTTGAAGTGCTCTCTCTCTCTCTCTCTTGTGCCTATTTGGTTCCTCAAAACTCTATGTATGCATGTATATGTGTAGGCTTTTTTCTCCCCAAATAGCTGAAAGTTGAGACAGTTATATTGCAAATATGAAATATCCTTTGCTCTAATGTGCAATACTTATTGCCAACTAAACTTCTGGATGTACTTTATGCTTCCAACTGCATATATGTTTTATTTATCCTTCAAGTGATTGATCTGTGTCAATTGTTGGGCTAATGAATGTTTTTAATGGTTGACAGCATGTATTAGAGAGGGGAAAACCTCATGAAAGAAGCCAAATTATAAGCAAGTTGTCGGGTCATATTGTACAGCTGAGCCAACACAAGTTTGCTTCAAATGTTGTTGAGAAATGCTTGGAGTATGGTGGTGCTGCAGAACGGGAACGGTTAGTTAGGGAGATTGTTGGGCACAATGAAGGAAATGAGAATTTGTTGGTATGAATAATTTCTCTTGATCCTTCAGTCCCAGTCCTATAAGAACAATCCTTCAGTTATATTCTGTATGTTTCGTGCGCTAGTGCACACACTCGCACACTTATATATATCAATTTGTAGTTTTTAAGAGCGGTACAAGTAATTGGATTTTCAGGTCAGTTGCATATTTTGTGTTGCATTTGGAGCTTCCAATGTACTTTCTTTACCTTCATGTTTGATTTGTCTTAGGTAATGATGAAGGACCAATTTGCAAATTATGTGATCCAGAAGGCTCTTGAAATCTGTACTGATAGTCAGCGGGTGATATTAATTAATCGTATAAGGGCTCATACTCATGCATTGAAGAAGTACACTTATGGGAAACACATTGTGTCTCGGTTTGAGCAGCTTTTTGGAGAAGGTGTGTATTCTTAAACTTTAAACCACTCTTGCTGTATTAATGCTGCATGGATTTAAATAGGGAGCATGCATGTTGAACACTACATTAACTTGGAGAGGTAGTGGAAATGACCGAAATGCAGTTGAAGTAGCCTCAACTGCATTTGAAATTTCCTTATTTTTTTTCAGTTCATTGACTAGGAAAATCCACGCAGCCTAAGTTGCATACTACCTTCCGGATGCAAGCATCTATGTTTAATCTGCGTGTACGGTTAAATGTATGGCATAATAATCTTTGATGATGAGTGTCCGCTGTACTGCCCCCCTTGCGACTTTACTAGTTTTGTTTTTGTTTTTGTTTTTGTTTTTGTTTTTTGCTTTTGGTCGTGTTTTGTAACTAATCTCTAAACATCTTTACTTGGTGATCCGGAAATAAATTTTTGAGCATCTCCAAGTGGTATACAGGGTCAAACTTAGCAGAGACTTCATTTGAATTTTCGTGTTTCTGTCTTTTGACTGTACGGTTTGTTTTTCTTTGGCCTACAGAAAATCAATCAGGATCGTGATGCCAACAAAGGGAATTAAACAAGAATTTACTTTCAGTGAATCTGTGGTTTGTCAAAGCATGCAGGTAATGTGCATCCCCCTGGCAATTGAAGAGAATGGCATGAGATTGTGGCTGTGCCGCCTCAGTATGTGCGAAGTTGTCATGTGCAATTCGATAAGAGAGGGTTGATGTGGGTCGGGTTGATAGTTGCAAGTAAATATCTGTTTATCGTCAAGCAATATATACTTAAATACTTTTAGGATGATTTGATTGCAATACAACTCAATTGGATGGAGTAATTGGTAGGAAAACCTTGGTGCTGTAAATTTATGTAGCACATTATTCAGATGTGTGGCTTTCATGATAAGTTGTAGGCCTTGATCTTTTTTCTTTTTCTTGGTTTCAGATTTCAGTAGGCCTTGATCTTTATGACCATATAAAAATTAGCACAATATCCTGTTCATTTCCAGAGTGACCTTTGAAGCACTTACGAGTGCCAACTTTTTGGGTTCAAATATGTTTTGTACACCTGTGGATTGGGGTCTGACAATTTGCATCAAGTCTTGCAAAAATTGACTAAATTCTAAACCCTAAAACCCTTTTGATGTTTGACCCAAAAATAATAATACAAATTTATTAATAAATCAAATCCTAGACATGTATTTATAAAAAAAACTCAAACACTATTTAAACATGGAAACATACTCAAAATCAAGAATTGTATATTTTTTGGGTGTGTTTATAAATGAGTTTTGAGTGTGTAATGATGGGTTTTGGGTGTTGGGTTTTTTTATAATTTCAGCCCCCATTTTGGGTGTTATAATGAAACTCTCAAATAAGGCTTCTTTAGCAATAATAATTTGGTTCATACCGAAAAACAGAGAATAAGGAAAACCCCTTGAAGTGCTCTCACGAGTTAAAATGTCAATACATTTCTCATTATGCGATCTTGGCTGTATGATAGCTGAGATGCTGCTAACACATTCTGAACACCTTATTTGGGGGCAACTTTTATGCATGCCCTTGTGAGGTGACATATGCTGCTATACAAAATTTTGTGTTTCTTTAGCCCCAAAATCCAAAACGATGTATTGAAAAGGCTCTCAGGCTCCTCTTGCGAGTGAATATTGATATAAATAAGGGAGAAAGTGTGCACGGTTTTCATGAGTTAAGTGCTTGTTCAAGGCAAATATTAATCTTTTATAGGTCAGTTTCAGTTGGGTTGGGTGTGCCTTACTCCCCTAACCAATCTTTTTTTCAATCTCGTTTTTTGTAAATCCTTAATCTTCCATTTTTATTATCACGCATGGACAGGTACAATCAATTTAAAATCATTGCATACAAATATCAATATTTAATTGATCTAATTTAGTATTTATTCAATTTTTTTTATAATTCGTAAATTAAATAAAATCGACTGAAATGAGAATCATTCTCTATACCATTTTTTCTATCTTTAAAAGTTGAAATACCGTGACTTGCACGCGGTCAAATTTTTTATTCTAAAAATGTCAGAAAAGTGAGAAAAATATACAAAACTTAAAACTTAAAAAGAAAAAAAAAAAAGATGAAGCTGCAACTCCCAGTCCCTCCGCCCCTCCGCCCTCACCCTCCCTTTATGCTCTCGTGAGTTGGGTGCTTAAGTTCAAGGTAAATATTAACCTTTTATAGGTGAGTTGGGTGTCCATCTTTACAAGTTCAAATGCAATTTTACTTGCATGGCAGAATACCGAGCATACTGTCAAGTGAAAGCATAACACGCGTTACAAAATCTAACCCATTAATAAAAACTTGTAACATATGTTAGTGCGTGTCACTCATCTTGCTAGAATGAGAAATCTCAACTCTAGTTTTTCTCATTTTTGTTCTGGTTTTGGATTGGATCTATGCTTTCCATCCAAGTCGAAAGCCTACCATGTTAGGAGATGATCTTGTAATGTTTTTGCAAGCATTGATGATTGACGGAATTCTTCTTATTGTATAAATAATGCTTAAGTAGACAGCTTGGGAAGGAAAAAAAGACACCAACAAAAAGCTTGGTTTGAGAATGATGAAAACAATGGGCCCAAACTGGGCTACAAAGTTGGACTTCAGAGACTTAAATCTGAGCCCATTAAGCCTGAAGCTTGTAAACCCATGCCACAGTGCTAGGGTTTAAGCTCTATCTGTCTCCTCCCTCTCTCTTTCATTTTGTTGTGTTTTGCGAAACAAGAAACAGAACAGAAAGCAATCATGTCTCGGCCAGAGCTGCAAGCTCCACCTGAGATTTTCTACAATGAAGAGGAGGCTCGCAAGTACACTCGCAATTCTCGAATCATGGAAATTCAGTCAGAGCTCTCCCACCGAGCCCTCGAGCTTCTTTCTTTGCCTGAAGATGGCGTCCCCAGGTTGCTCCTCGACATTGGTATCTTTCGAAACCCAGCAGCTCATCTTTCAATTTTTCATCAAAAAGCAAAAAGGGTTTTAGTTTTATTCACTGAACAAGTGAAAAAGCTGAGTGCTTGAGCTTTTCACTGTAGGTTGTGGTTCGGGTCTTAGCGGAGATACATTGTCAGAGAGTGGGCATCAGTGGATTGGTTTAGACATTTCCCGGTCAATGCTTGGTATATGTTTTTTGGGGTTTTTTTATACTTTGTTTCTAACTTTTGTTTTGCTTGCTCCCATGGGTTGTTTCTAAATTGGCATTTCATTTATTTGATAATTGGAGATGTTGCATTGGAGAATGAGGTTGAGGGTGACCTTTTGCTTGGGGACATGGGTCAGGTATCACACTTCAAGCACTTGATATGTTTGCTTATATCTTGTTTGCAATTCAGCGTAATCATTGAAAAGACAAAGAAAAGAGAAATGCATTCAACCCAAAGTTGTTTCTTTTTTATCAACAAAATGTTATGGTTCAACCCTAATTTTTTATTTTTGCAGGGCTTAGGACTTCGTTCAGGAGTTATTGATGGAGCCATAAGTATCTCAGCTGTTCAGGTTTGCCTTCTTCTTTTTTCTTGTTTACTCGCCAATACTTACAATGAAATTAATATTTAGCTTTATTTTTTCTATGTTAGCATGTGCCCCTTGTCAGGAGTATTTTTATACTCCACTAGTTGAGAGCTTAAATGCCAATTATTTCCATTCTATTTTTAATATATGAATAATCATTTTCTAAATGATTGTGGTTTGTTTAATCCTTAAAGCTTTCCTGAATTAAAATTGCTATTTTATACCTCTTTTTTCTTCATTTGTAATTACTGATACTACTTCATGTATGGATTGTTGATAGTGTGGTATGGTCTACTTTATGAATATTTCTCCAATTTTACTTTTTTTTTTTTTTTTGGAATGCAGTGGTTGTGCAATGCTGATAAGTCCTCACATAATCCACGATTACGATTGAAGTATGTGGTGTTTCTTATTGGTTTTTATATCCTCATCATAATTCTATATTGTTGCATGCTTGAAATGTGAAGATAGGTGTATCAGGATCTTATTGGTCTTGGCCACATTAAACATAGGGTGAGCCTGTAATCTCTTCTTGATTGCAGTATGAGCCTTTTGTCTTAAATTCTTTTGCAGGGCTTTCTTTGGATCATTGTACAGATGCTTAGCAAGGGGAGCAAGAGCAGCATTTCAAGTGTATCCTGAAAATCTAGACCAGCGAGAGCTGATTTTGAGTTCTGCAATGCGTGCTGGATTTGCTGGGGGTGTAGTTGTTGATTATCCCAACAGGTATGCAACCAATGAAAATCTTATGATAGGCTGTTAGTTTGTCTGAAACGATGTGGTTACTAAATTGCTCTCTAAGGTCTTTGCTCATGCATGAGCCTATATATCTACTGACAAACACCTTGTAACCACTCCTGGTACATGAACCTTTTCAGGCTTTCCACATCAGCTTTTAAAAAAACAATAGTATATATCAGATCGACCCATGCACTGCACAAAAAGATCTGAACAATGCCAGTAAATATGAACAGATATGTAGTTTGGATTTTTATTCTGCATGGAAATTTGACATCCTTGACTAGTTCTTAAGGCATGCTATAATCGATAAATGAAATAATGGTAATTTCGAAAGGAGTAACAAGACCCTAATTTATGGGACATAGAATGGATTTGTTAAGAGATGTTGATGTAATAATTAGACAATTTCAGAATAAATGAAAATATCAAAGGCATTGTGGTTATTCATCTCTGTGTATTTCGTGTTATTTATTTTCTTGAGAATACAGAAGGCAATAAACATGTAAAGAATGATTGCTGAACTGCTCATCATTGCTGTTGACTTGTGAATTAGCTCCTGAAGAAATTCAGGTCTTAAATAAATAAATAAATAAATAACCTTTTTCTCTTCCATTTTACGAGTTGCACTATCATTGTATGGTACAATGGTTTTATACATTTTCTTGTCTACATGTTCATTTCATCATTTTACCTTTTACTAGTCCTCTTTTGATTTCCTTTCAATCTAATATTTTCCTTGCCTGGATGATCAAAGGAAAAATTGGAATGTGTTTCCGTAACTTAACCCAATGAGTGAAGCTTTTAAGAGAGTATTGCATGAATAGGATATATAGGAAAAAGGGTTAGTTTCTGAGTTCACATTAATTATCTTGTAACAGTTCCAAGAAAAGAAAAGAATACCTTGTCCTCACCTGTGGCCCACCATCTATTAGCACATCCACTCCCAATGGAAAAGGCGAAGATGGTGAGAGTTCCTCTGACAATGATAGTGAAGATGAAGACAATCAGACAGTAAGTTTTCACTGATGCATTTACTATCCTCATTGTTTTGCTTCGTCAAGGTGATGTTGGCTAGCTACGTTGTCCTCTTCCGGTATAACCTTTCTATTATTCCACAAGGCGAATGTAAATTCCAAAGCACTAAATCATAGCTATTTATTTATTTTCTGAATTTCTGATGTGTTATTGTTTGTGTGAAGCAGGTTTCAATCTCAGACAGGCACAGGCCCAAGAAAAAACAGAAAATAACAAAGAAAGGCAAGGGAAGAGAATGGATAATAAAGAAGAAGGAACAGATGAGGAAAAAAGGAAATGTTGTTCCACCAGACACAAAGTACACAGCTCGGAAACGTAAGGCTCGGTTTTGATCTTACAGCAGGCCTAAATTTTGAGTGTTCTGGCGTTGGTGTGTGCTTGAAGCGGTTTATATGGGCTCTGCAAATGCATTTCCTTTTTTCTCAATAGTGCTTTAGAATACTGGCCATAAGCAATTTATATACAAATCTCTCCAGGTAATGGACGTCTGGTTGTAATATGACTATTCCTGTAACCTTAACAGTTTTGAGAAAATAGAAACTTTGTTCTGTTTTAAGGTATTGAGCAACTTAATAAAAGCCTTGTTTGATGAATGAATATAGTTATTAATTCCTTTTCACCTCTGCATTCATCGTTTTGTGATGATATTTTCTTGGAAGACTGGCTTGGTAAACCCTTGACATTACCATAATCCGGATTGCAATACGCAACTTCGCATTTGAGCCAGCTTAACTCCTTCAAAGTTTTTTCCTCTTCTATTTGTTTGGCATTCATTTTTTCGGAATTTGCAGCTCAGAAATTAAGGGTGTGCAAGATCCAATCCAATCCAATTTTAATCGGTTTTGATGATTTGGCAGATTGGATTGGATCCCTAGTTTCCAAAACCGATATTATTGTATCGGATGATTGATTTGCTTGAGAGAATCCAATCCCATCCAATTCAATTCAATCCAATTTAGTTAGCTTCGTACTTATTTTGTTTGTGTTAGTATTTATAATTGAAAAAGCTATGAACATTTTTAGCCATTTTAAGCCATTAGATGGAGTTATGCAATATATTATAGAATAAAAATAATTTTCTCACATTTCATTTATATTTTACATTTACGTCTATTAATGTGTTTGATTAGATTAAACTTATGATCCAATCGGATTGGACTGTGATTTTCCAATCCAATCTATATTGAATTGAATGCAGATGGCTAAATTATATTGATTTCAAAATGACGCACACCCATGAAAAATTGTCACTACCATCAATTTTGATGTTGAACCTTCAATTTTCAAATTTAGCGCCCAAATAACAAGTACCAAGCCATTGTGCTTGGTATTATAGGACAAACATAACTCAGGTTGGGAACCTTAAAAATCAAATTAGGAACGCAGTGCATACAGGACAGACTTCGATGGCTGCACAGTACATATATACCTCCACTGCAAAATAAGGCTTAATAGTGACGACTCTTTTACTTGTATGGAACGTTGTAACCACCACCAAAGAAAATGTGGTGAAGAATTACGGGAGCAAAAACTAAGCTGGATATAAACAGCTAAATAGATGAGAAATACAGAAAACAAAGCCAAACAGAGAAAACTTTCAACAACACAATCATTTAAAGAGTGCCATCAAATTGTCTAACAAAAATTTATCAAACAAAACTTTTCATGTCTCATATTCTTATCCAACAATTCACAAAAATTCAACACTAATGCAAATTGAAAAAGGAAACTAGTAAGATTATGACATAATATATAACCCGAAAACCACTGAGTTATGACTAGATTAATCAAAGAGAGAGAATCCCATGTCATCATCACTCTCCTCCTTTTCTTCCTTCTTCTCCTCGACTGGCGGAGCCTCTGCAGCTGCCGCACCACCTCCAGGAGCTGCAGCAGCTCCGCCTCCAATAAAGGCGCCACCGCCGCCGCCACCACCAACGATCACCTGTACCAAAGAAGTTTCAAGTTATGGATTCGGCAACACAACACTACAACCATTGAAAAGGGATTAGCAAGCATTAGTATCACATATCAACCACAATTGGTCCTCTTTAAACCAATGGTTTCCAAGGTTTTTCTCAACACAAAACTGCCATACGAAACATATTGCATCGGGAAGTGCTTTTAAACTTTGGCTTTTCACTACAACAGACAATATCAATAGAATTAAAACAAAAACAAGCGTGAGTGCTTATGTGAACAATTTGGGCAACATAATTTTTATTAAATTTGAAGCATAAACCAAATACATGGGTGTTTGACCATTTAGAGCTTATTTTCCATGTAAAACAATAATTTCATTCAATTTCTTGCAATAATCGATTGCAATTTTCAGAAATCACAAATCAAAAGAAAAAGCTCCAAAACAATCCCATATGCACGATCAAACCACATATCATAAACCCATAAAAAACCAACAATAAGCAACCAAAAAAATCAAAGAAAAATCCCAGATTTCAAAATTCCTTGTCTTATCAAACCCATAAAATAAAACACAAAACTAAAGAAATCGAAGGCATAGGATCATACGACCAAAAACAAAAACTCGAGATTTAGTAGAGAAAGACCTGGAAGACAGCTGATGTGGGAGTGACTGGAGAGTAGGAGGTCTGAACCCCACCGGAAGAGTCGGTAGAGAGAGCGGTCTGGACGAGCTTCCTCTGGAGCTCGAATGTGGAGGCAGCAGAGGCCTCAAGGTCTCCATTGTGCTGCTTCGCGCTCCACTCTCCTCCTGAGGTCCTCAACACGAAAGTGAACACTCCCATGGCGAATCGAAACCCTAACCCTAAGTTTCAGATGTCAGTGCTTTTGAAACTCGGGAGACACTGCGGGCATGAACGGCGCTTCGTTTAGTGATTTGCTCTTTATGTAGAATGCGATGCCAAAACCCTAGCAGGCACTCGCGAAAAGTCCTATTTGTCTGTAAGATCTAGGTAATTTTCTGAATGTGATTGGGGATGGATTTGTCATTACAATCCTCGTTTTTGTGGGTCAACCGTCAATGCGGACCCTAACAAGTCAACGAGCCCCATAACTATTTTATTGATATTTAAATATTTTTTTCCTTTTTTTTTTTATTGGTATTTTTTCCTTAATAATGATTAAAAATTGTAAATTAGTGTAATAACACATAAAATGCGATGTATAATCTTACAATTACACTCTTAAAACCCAAATTTAAACTTGAAAAGCAACGAGAAAAAAAAGTTTAAATAGTAACTGCAAGAGAATGTGAAGCTCTATCTTCATCCCCACCCCATTAAAGCGAAGCAAGAATTGGGTTAAATTGTCGTTCCTAATTACAATACCAAACTTTGCGGGCTGAATTGACCAATACTTAACATGAACATGAATAATATTAATTTTAACTCAGATATTTTTATTTTATTAGGACCTTTCTTATTGAGATAGGTAATAATATACTAAACTCACACACATCACATATGCTAAGACTCGAACCCAGGACCTTGCTTGAGGGTAATTGCTCTAAACTACTACACTAGTCACTACTAGGTCCTTTGCACTCGATGAGATTTTTAACTAGCATTTTATGGTTAGGTACTTTTTCTTCCATTTCTTAACACGTTATTGTATTAGCGGAAAAAGAGCCTTAACTTATCCTAATTCTGATTGTTACTCTACTCTCCCTTTCACCAGTTGAACTCCAAGAGCGAACGACATAATATAATATGCTTCACCAAGAAAAAGTGATGTTATTTCCCCTCTCCTATTTCCCCACTCACCTTATCTTTCTACCCATCATGTAAATTTGAAAAAACATAATCCTATCTTTCCACCTACCATTATTCCTACAATACCCTTTAATTATTATTTTCTTTTTGCCAAACGAAATAATTTAAAAGGCAAAAAGAAGCTTAATGAAACTTAACAATCAACTCTTGCAATCATATTCTTTTTTTCTTCTTTCTTTCTCTGCAATTTCTCCACCCAATTGTATAGGTTTTTTTTAACCTCTTCCTTTCTCTAAGTTTGGTTGGTTTTGGTGGTGGCTTGATAAAATTCTGGGTTGGGACCTAAGAATGGGGCCCATGTTCACCACATTATCATAGATTCCGAACCTCTGCATTTAGCATCGGTGCATTTACACTCATTTAAAAGAATGCAAACCTTTATATTAATATAATGATTTTAATAAGTCAACGTCAGCAAACTTGTATTAAACTAAAAATTTATTAGTTGCACCTTATTATCATCATGGGGCCCATGTTCACCACATCATCATGGATCTCTAGTCTCTACATTTAGCATCAGTGCATTTACAATCATTTAAAAGAATGCAAACCATTAGATTAATCTAATGATTTTAATAAGTCCACGTCAGCAAACTTATATTAAGCTAAAAACTAATTAGTTGCACCTTATTATTTCCCCAGCAAATCGCAACTACACCCTACCCCACACTGCCAGCCATGGCTGCCACCTCCGTCTCCCTTCCCCCCCTCCCTCCCTACCTACCTATTTGGGATAGGTGACTCAACAAAGCCTAGGAACTAATAATATCAAATAATTATCTTTAATACTCATCATCAATTAATAGATTCATTAATGAATTGTGTAACGAAGTGGGCAATTTATAGGATTTTCGGGGGTTTGAGTATGTACTCGTAAATATCAGTATGAACTTGAAAATGACCCTATAGTTGAGGGGGTTTTATGTAGTTTTTTCCTTTTTTTTTTCTTTATGGCTTTCAAATTTTAAATTGATGAATGAAAAACGTACATAAAATGTAAAGTCAAAATAAAAACTAAAAATTGAAAGCAATTCAAAGTGTTTTTTCTTTCAAATTTTTCTTTCATGCATTTTTCTTCACCTTTCCTTTCGCCATAGTTTTTCTTTCATGTTTGTCATTTTCATCATTTATCATGTATTTTTTCACTATCTCCTATAAAAACAAAACCCAAAAAAACCAAAAACGAAAGTGTTATAAACTAAATGATTTATAAACAAATTGGATTAATATCAGATCATATAATCTGAACAATTAATTAAATCCGTTGGATTAAGTTGAATGCAGATTAACAATGGATTGATAACTCTTATATCACATTTATCCTACAATATATTGAACAATCCAAGTACCCTTCGGTATCACCACAGATAATAGAAAAAACAAATTCAAAAAAATTGTCAATTGGCATTTGCTCACTATAAAAAATTATACATGTACAACAACCTAGAATATCAAACCTGTCCTGTTGCTTAAAAAAATAAGTCAAGAATACAAAGTTAAATTACAATGCATTATTTCTTTGAACATCCTTTCTGAACCCCCATGCTTATATCCAAAAATCAAGACTTCCTTTGCTCGTATCTTATGAAGGTTGGTTTGGAAGACGACAGAATAGCTACCATTGCGGTGCTGGAAGTGCCTGATATTCTGAATTTCTAAGGGCTTCTTGAGCTCACCAAAGTCTTCAAGAGAAAGAAAACATACTCATTTTTGATGTCACCATTCTCTTTGCTGAAGCCATTCCCACAATTCTCTCAAGCTAAAAAGCGAAAAAAGAAAAAACCTAGTGAATATAATGTTTTGTTTTTCTTCTGATATTCAAGGGGTCCCAAGCCCAAACAAACAAAGAAAGTAGACAATCTAATTCATATTCACTACATCAGGGAGGGCAAAAAGACAACAGGAGAAAAGTCATAAGAGTGCAATTCAACATCAGTTACATGAACAATACCAACTGGTTTCCTGGCTACAGGCTTGCTTTAATACATATTCTCAATCAGATTTACACTATTTTAATGCTGGATTTTTTTTTTTTAATACAGGTACCCCTCGGGTGCATGGGTAACTGCTCTTAACCACTTGAGATATAAGCTCATTGTGGATAGTTTCTTTATTTAATTGAAGAGAACCATGCTGGTTTCTAGTATAACAGATTGATCATTGAGTTCTTAAACATTTAAATCCCCTACTATGTTCAACTCTACCCTCTAGCTCATCCACATCACAGCAGAATTCAGCACATTTAAAAAGAGAGGGAAAAAAAATACCCGAAGGAGATCAAAATGAGAAAAGAGCACTGTGCATGCCACGTCATGGGACCCATCAATCATATTAACAACCTGTGATAAAATCAAAAGAACATTTGTTTTACAAAAAGACCAAGTATATGACTGTATCTGAAACTGAATGATATAAAATATCAATTAAAGAGAAGGGGCGATTTATATCGTGCTCACCTCAGGGTAAAATTCCTTTCTCTCTGGCAGTGAATAGATTATTAAATTCTGAATTCCACGAATCTACTCACCACAAAAATAAAAAGGATGTGTCAGCAAAGAGGCTATTAAGACTGACTTCAATCTTCCATAAAGTATTTTCCAATTTAAACAACAATAGACAACAATGTAGTGTCTCCAATATAGAAGAGCACACATATACATGACCAGTGGACAAAACACTCTAAAGAACCTACCTTATATCTGTGGTAAAAATGTGATCTCTCAGTGTAAAGCATGATCTTCCGCTTTCCTTCAAAAAACTGAACCCGTGCACGAGAAATATCACTTTGTTCTGCATATCTAAGGAGCAAAGAAACATATATTTCATCAGCACATTTGTGACCACACAAAGAAACTCATCACAATATACATAGGACAGATTCTCACTCATGAAGCAAACAAAAGGATGCACTCTGCGACTTTAAAAAATTCCGAACTCGAACATATTCCAAGTAAGAACTGATAAATATCATAATCCCACCCTGAATGAAAAATTCCAAGGAAGATATCATTCACGGAAAAATTTTAAACACTAATATTGCAATAAGTGCAAATTTTAGGCTTAAAATAATTACCTCAATAGAATCTTTTATTTTTGGGAAAACCTGAAAATAGAAAAACAACAAACATCTCAAAATTCGAGCAAAAATGGAAGAAATAAAGTAAATCAGTGAAGTGCAAAATTTAACTTTTCAAGATGCAGCAGATTCGATGACTAGAGTAGGAGGGAACAGGGTGTATATATGGGCTCCTTTTCTTTTGAAAAATCTTCAAATTGAATTATCAAGGTTTAAATCTTTACCTTTTTATGCTGTTTCACAAAAAGGTAAAACAGTACACAGGTTTAATATTTACCAATGATCTTAAATAAGTCATTTGAATTCAAAAAGTTCCATAACTATTGCAATTCAGATTCAAGAAAATTTCTAATCAGAGTTTTCATATATTATCTAGCCATAAGTTACAAAGATCTACTTTAAGTCAAGCTACGTCAATTCAGAAATCAAATTATATTTATATTTATTGCAATGAATTATAAAGTCTCATGTCATTAAGGAACCCATCATGGAGAGCAGAACAAACCTTCGTAGTAAAATATTCAAAACGAGCATCATCAAAATGCTCTATTGAATCTGCATCAAACCGCTGATAAATCTGGAAGGTTGAGGAGTAACAGTATGCATTAGCTGATGAAGTCCATTCCAAACAGAAAATATCCGAGACAGAAATAATTTATAAACCCATACCTTACAATTTAATAAGTAACTGAGTAAAGTGACACTTACCCTAGTATGATAAATATTCAATCACACCAACTAAAAAAGAACACATTCCATATCCATTTTGAGATTCTATTATTACATGGAGTTATGAAACCTTAGAAGGAACCATAATCAGGGACCTAGGATCAAATTCTGCATTTACCAGTTTGAGATTATGGGATGAGAAAGAGTTGTCTCAACCCTGTGTGACATAGCCGCAACAGGTCCCAAGCGAACCCAAAGTATAAATCAATAAATAAAATATCCCTGACTAAATGTTTTCATTTCAAATCCACCTTAAAAACTATATAAAAAAATCCAATTATCAGCAACAAGAAAGATACAAGGAGCAGTACATAAATTGAAATAATACTTGGACAGTACACTCAGCTTCCTAACCATGCGAAGAAGGGGAAATAAAGGATGACAAATACCTGGCGGACTTGAAGTACAACTTTAGGAAGAACTCCTTTATGTTCATGCACCAACTTCACCTATGGTATAACAAAATAAGTATTTTAGACTTGCAAATTTTGCGAATCATAAAATAAGCATTAGCAGTCTGAATGTTTTGAGAAAATCACAAAATGAAGTTTTTCTTTTGCATTTTCTTGGGAAAACAACCATTATTTTTCAATTGATAGACTTGTCATTAATTTCATGTTTTCTACTGATCATTTGATCCATTGTAGGACCACTGGACAGTAGAGCACTGAACAATAGTATTTACAGGCCACTAAAGCTCAGCATATTCTGGACTTAAAAGTCTCTGTTTTAAAAATAGATTTGGGTAGATGAATGGACACATGTTATCAGTTTCTCTTAGAAAATCTAGCTTCAGGAGATTCAATTTCCCAATGAATCTTTGCTTCTAATGTATTTTCTCAATGCAAGCATGAATACCATATACACACACGTTACTATTGGTTAGGATTGACATACTTACCGGCTACTAGTCAGTAATAAATTATCATGATATGTAGACACAGACAAGTATGTCAGGTGTTGAAAAAGTACAAGGTGCCATCATGGAAAACCGAAAAATAAAGACCTGTTCCCACAGGTTTGTATGTTTGTAGCATAAAACAGTGGACCATTCACATTAAAGTAGTTTTGGATAAGTACAGATAAGGCCCTCCTGTCCTAAAATGACCAAGTCTGAACAGAGACAAACTGGTGCTGGTTTTCAAACATTCTATCTCAAAGAAATATAACATTTCATGTTTCCTGCATTACCGTTCTTGTAACTAAAAATGATCCACAACATGACAAGTGTCTCAGTTTCATTATTTTAAAGGATTAAAAGATCTGTTCCAAACAAGTTTTGAACCGAAGAGGAAAAAGCAACCACAAAAAAAGTTAATTATCTGAATTCATATATAGTACACTACCAAAAGGAAAGAAATTTTTTACAGAATAATAACAAGAGCAACCAAGCATGCAATGAATTGTGGGAACATTATTGTAATTTGTAGGAGGAGAAGTGCTATAGAAGATATTTTATAGTCAAAAGTAAAGATTTATGCTCTAAATATTTATTTTTAAACACACCTTCCCATGGTAATTATTGCAGTTCTTGTTGAACAAACTGTTTATATCTGCAGTAAGAAAGCATCAAGATTAAAGGAGATTGAGAACTGGAGTGCATATCTTTATCAAGGTAATGAATACCCTTTAACTTTAATGCATATATTATTGACTTTTTAAATTTGAAATATATCAGAAGTATACAAGAACATACAAAAAAAAGAAAATGATTTCACAGTTGTAATTGATAGCTTATCAACTACATTTTTTCCGTATAAGAAAAGAAGAAGGCATCTTACCTGGGGTTGAATAATAACTCAAAAGTATCATTTGCCTATAGAAGGATGCATATCCATCCAGGTACCTGATCATGAAAAGCAATGTCTCAATCTTCATGACATGTGATATAATAACTAGTTTTGAAATCAAATTTGGAATTCAGAAAACAACATTTTTGTCTGTCATTGCGCTTCTCAAGATATTCATAACTATATAGGCTGTATAGGAAGCATTTCGTAACTAGTAGTGTGAGGGAGGACACTATAAGTAGGAAAACTGACCATGCAACCACATACCACAAAACAATGTTCACATCAGTTGGAAAAAGATTGACAAGAAAACATACCACTGTCTTATACGCATGACATCAGTTCCGTGCTGCTTAGAGGGTATGTGGTTCAATTGTTCAACAACTGACTTTAAAAAGTTCCAGTTCTGGAAATTTTTATAAGAAAAGAGACGATATAAAATTTTGCAAGTAATATATATTTCAAGTAGATAATTGATTACACTCTTTACCTGCATTGTTATAACATCTGCATGATCAACAATTAGAACCTGCCACATCAAATAAATATATCTCCATTAGTGGAACAGAACCACGGAAGCAGAAAAAATAAAAATAATAACTCATGAGAACCATACAGACATACTACCAAACACTGACAGGTTAGTACGTTACTAAGAGATTTACCTCTATGGAAGAAAGATAGTCGACATCCTTTTCCTTATTTACTTTAGCCTCATCAATTTTCTGGAAAAATAAGTCCACTCAATAATAATATAAAGAAAGTGGTAGCCAATCACATTATAATCAGATCTGAGGTGTAGAAAGTGCAAAAAAAAGAAAAAAGAAAAAAAAAAGAAAAAGAAAAAAAAAAGTCAATCAATTACCTTCAACAAACCAACTGAAGAGGCAACTATCATATCTGAGGTATAGAAATCACTGTACAACTTTATGCTCCTCCTACAAAACAAAGAATGAAAAATTCAACAAACCAACTGAAGAGGCAACTATCATATCTGAGGTATAGAAATCACTGTACAACTTTATGCTCCTCCTACAAAACAAAGAATGAAAAATGAGTTGAAAATCTAATTTCCTATAAAACGTTTTGACTTATTTAACACATAAGACATAATGGGATTACTATCCATGGCCACAAGCCCTGCATACTCTTGAAAGAGTTTTACATACTCTCGAGTTATCAATATTATATCATACTCATATAGTATCTTTTGTGTGTATTCTATGATACTGAGGCTCTCAATAAATCTTCTAAAGCCACCTCTAGCACCCAAAATTAACTGTTTGATTGCTCACATTATTTGACTTCGTTAAATCTCAAAATTTACATCGTCTACCAAAGATATACTATCTACTAAATGGCCAAAAGATACTAGTAATTCTAACCTCACATGTCAACTACTTTCTTAATGCATTCCACATTGCATCGAAGATTATACAACACCCTTAATAAAGCAACAATAAGAGCAATGCTTTCCTGAATGGTTTTTACTATAAAATTTGCAGATAAGTCATCATCGTTATAAGTTAAGTAATTTACTTTGTGAACTTGATGCCAACCATGAAGTCATCCTTGCTATTTCCACCAAAAAGTACTTGAAAGTCACCAGGTTTCGTAGACTTATGAGGTTTTACACTTCCGTAGTCAAGGTCACCTGGGGGAATTTCTTTTTCGTCCTCATTATCATGATCGTCTTCAGTTCCGAACTCTCTACAAAATCGATCCATGTGCTCCACATTAACCTGAGAAAGTGGACATAAGGTATTAAAAAGAGGATAAACATAGGTACCTTACGGAATCAAATCCCAGACTATGTGGGAGCAACCAACAGGCCTGACCACTTGACTAAACCCTCGTTATTTAATTCATAGGTAAATAAGATCATTTTTGGTTAAGGGATTGGTTTACAAAGTTTGCTAACATGAATTCTTGGCAATTGAGCTTTCAAGCAGCAGAATGTAGCTATGTAGCTTCCATTAAGAACAATCTCAACAATTATATCAACATCTGAATAATTTACTACTATGCCCTTGAAAATCGCATCCAATATCAGAATTCAGGGGGGACATGGAAAGGGGCCATTATCAGACCTTTCTGCAATAAAAACTTTTCCGTTTTCATTTGAACCAACATAAGTGGAGAAATCTCATACAGGCAGAGTGAGTATTGGAGGATTAGTATTTAATAAAGATTATGAAAATATTCCAAAAAAGGAGTACAGCCTAGACTCCTGGTAGAAAGGTAGTGGAATTTCCTCATAATTTTCTACTCATTGCATGCTTGTGGGGTTTACTCTTAAATCAAAGGTATCAGAGATGCCGGAAAATAAATTAATAATATGGAAAGAATATGAAAGCCTTTTATATAGAAAAGTTGAATAAGGTGCAGAAAAGAAAAGAAATACACAGGAAACCGGGAAAAAATAGTCCATCCAAAAGCGGCACAACACTCATAAAATCATATCATAGGATTAAATCTGACCTTCCTCACATTATTACCCCCCAGAGAAATCCTCACATATTCCCTTATACAAACTTTGTGGGGGTTAACCAGTGCATAATTTATAGAAGCAAAAAAGAAAAATGAAAAGGTACCTTGTGAGCTGAAGGAGTAAGCTGTATTAGCCTCTTAACAACACGAAGTGCAATGCTCGCAATTGGCAATATGATCAAAACCTGGTGAAGAAATAAAACAAATCCTCTTCGCTAAGCATGCAAATTACAATATCTGGATTTGAAGATATATGTTCTTTTCTCTATACCAGAGATATGCATCAAGTCTCAAGAGATAACTTTATATGCAGCTTGATGATGATAAGATTTATAACTATAGATGCACTAAGTCCATTAGAATCAATTGCAACTACAAGAAAAGCCAGGAGTGGATAGCCTCCGGAAACAAGTTTGATTAAATTTAAAACAGAAATTGCACATGTCTACAAACAAGTGGGAAAGATACACTACAGGGCAAGTACAGAAAACAGGATATACTATACCATATGATGATGTTATAAAAATGGACTTCTTGGGTAACTAGGATGAATATGAGTCAATGTGAATAAATGTCTATAACAGGCAATCTAAGGAACTATAATTCACCCAAGTAGTTCAACTCTAACAGTAAAAAATCTCAAGAACTCAGATAACTAAAAGCTAAAATCCTTTATAAAGTCATGCTCTTTGATATAAGAATAAAATCATGACTTACAACAACCTCTTCAATGAAGGGATATCTGGAGACAATGCCACATAGGAATTGGAAAAAATACCCGACTTTTGACTTTCCTCCACTATGTGGACTAATAATACCAACCATTTAAGTATTTGGAAAATTGCACCCACCAAAGGTAATCCATCGTCCGAGCCTTCACAGAATTTTCCTAGGAAAAAATAAAAGGAAAAACAAACAACAAGAGCAACAGAATGCACTTTTTTCTGTCAACTCTATGGTATAGAAATTGGGTAACCTACAAGAGTTGTATTATTCCACAAAACCAAGTTTCAAACTTATTGTACTATAATTATGTAATTCCCATTATGAATCGACACATGCCCTAATATATGTACTGCTACCATATCCACATATGTGATAATAGTGAAACTTCTAGTACATCCAAGTTTAAAGATTAAACAAAATATAAAAATAAAAAATCCAAGTCCAATATATTATAACAAGAACATGACGCTTATATACCTTAGGACGAGTAAATCCATGATCAAGGAAACTATCATCAGCAAGAATTTCATTATTATCAATTTCTTGACGCTTGGACACTTTTGCATCATTCTTCATTACAAGATCTCTAGTTCTGAAGACATGATTCAGCTGCATTATATCACTTCAATTAATCATTATAAGAGCAATATATATAATCTTAACACAAAAATATTGGTATCTTTCAAGGAATAGGGACAAGCACGTACACAATGCATAATATATGCATCCATGGCACTCGAGTCTTCGTCAGAGCCTCTATGATAAAAGGGTTTTTTGTTGCAATGCAATATATCCCGATAGCTGTTGACTGCGGAATGTAGATACCAACGTAACCAGAAAATAGATGTAAAATTAGTCAATCCATACTATAATTGCAAAGCCCAAAAATTTCATGACTACAAGAATTTAGGAAAAATATAAATTATAAAATAAAAATAAAAAAATAAAAAAAAGCAGAAAAATAAAGCCTGTGTGTCAGGATTAACCAAACGCCTCTAAGATAATACAAAAAGTGACAGTCTACTGCATTAAACAATCAAACACAAATTAAATTTCAACACAGCTCAACGAGCCATGTCCCAAGCACCAGGAACTGACAATGTCCTGATTCATAAAACTATTGGTACAATGCTGCCCTTACATACAGCTGAAGCAAGCAACACTAAGAACCATGTGACTACTTGGATATTTCTTGGTATTTTACATGAATGATTAATACAAAATAGTAAAATACAAGGTATAATAGTACCCTAATTCATGACACTTCCTCTTTTGATAAGAAACCCAACTTCCATTGATAAAATGAAAGATTATACCAGACAACGTATTCACCGGAATCAAGCCAAAACAAAACAATTACTGAACAACTTAACAATTACTTCGACACTCGGTAGTCTACGTCTATAATTCAGATAGAATACTAACCATAATTTAATTCTTTTACAAAGACCTTTTTTTTCAGGTACCGTGATTTTTCCAGTGTAAGGAAAAGTCCAGATTGACTTAAATTCCGAACTAGTCATCAGATACAGTATAAAATGGCACTCCTGTCAGAAATAATAGTTGCACATAATTAGCTAAGATTATCAAACGCCCTACTCAGTAATATCATCAATGCAGGCCCTCACAAGGATTTTCCATTCAACTTTGAACTCTAAGTGCTCTCTCCTACACATCTACCTCAAAAACCTACGGCTGGTATGTCGTCTACTTTACCATCACCATTTTATTACTTGGGACTAGATTCTCCCTCTTTGTAAAAGGAACCGCCTACCCACTAAGCTTGAGACATACGGTTATTTACAGCCTCATGTTCACACTCAATACAGTTTTATTTAACTAAAATATATTTAAAGGACAACCCGCTAAGGTATTTAAGTTGAAAAATTAATTTTCAATTAATGATAACTTTAGCATTCTGTACTTGCTCATCTTTTACAATTGTGGGGAGTTCTTGTGTTCTCCATCCAAAAGTTCAAAATGTGCATAGCTAGCTTCTTCTGTAGCCTATCGTATAGAAAGCTGAAGTATTATCCTTCTTCACTCATTAATATAGAATTATATGCTGTGGGTTTATAAGAGTTGGATTGAAATTTAAAATGAAGATAAATCCAAGTTCAGTTCAGGGTAAAGAAAAGTAAACATGAGAACAGCTTTCATGCATGAGTAACCCACTACCATTGCTGTACATGTTTATAAGGAATGCTCCAATGAACTCATAATCGGAAAGCCACTTGCCCAGTGTAAATGACTATGGCTAATTCCTACCTTCCAAATGCCAAAACATAGTAACGGATGCATGGCTGAAACACAGCGGTGTTACCATTATATCCATAATTTTTTTGTCTCTGAAGCAAGGACATGTATCCAGTTTTAGACCAACCCAGCAGGAAATCAAATTATATTGACTTGGAAATTAAAAATTATGCATCAGAATCAACCCAGAGGTGTCCTGGCAGATGAAGCATGGCATATGAAAGAAATCTTATTTATTTGATCAACGAAACGACAAACACTGGATAAACTACAAACCTGTGCTAAATATCATATATATGTGTGTGTGTGTGTGTGTGTGTGTGTATGACATTTTCTATGGTGAAGAAGATAAATAAAGGCTCTCATCAATTTGATTATGGATGCTAAAGCCCCACTAATGAGGAATAGGAATCAATCATAAACTGCAGTTTCAACTCAAAAGACAAGTCTAAACAATATAAAGGTAAGAACAGTCTATTTCGATTTACCCGTACTCGAGATTAATTTATTGTTTAAAGCTCCATAAGAAAAGGTCAGAGAAAAATCACATCAAGTTTAGCACATATTTAGCATAGTTGCATAATCATATCAGGAAGTGCTTTCAGAACAAAGTTGGTAGACTCAACCACATAAGATCTAAAATGGAATTATTATCAGATTAACTTTTTCTGAGAGTTGAGAACTGAGGGGAAACATGTTCCATTGAACTCAATGATATAACTCAAGAAATGACACTGAGAAGACATCAATTCAAGTAGAATTGGGTACACTTACAGAGGGAGAAGAATAATCTTTGTCTAGATGAATGAAAATTATTGCCTCCAGATGTGTTATATACATCCAACCAGTGCTTGTACAACTTTGGCTTCAGACCATAACCAGAATTGGGGTTGTCATCCTGAAAAATATTACACAAAGTGAAAAAGGAATATATGAATATAATTATATGAAAACTGCAGAATAAGAAGCATTTTCAATTAAACTAGCTCATTATAATGTATGCATACTATACTTAGTATGCCAAGGTAAGACATGGACCATGTACCTAAAAGAAAAAATCAATAAGAGCCTCCACTAGGTTGGGAGGAGTATGAGGATGGGAAAGGATACCTCCAGTTTGTAGCCCTTAGGCTGCACGGCCCATACCAGGATTTACATTATGGGAAAAAAAAAAAAAAAGCAAAAGAGATCCTTTCAAGAGCTTTTTTACAACGTACAGACAAACATATATAGCACAGTTCAAAAAAAGGAGACATACTTTTATGAAACACTCTCCTGTTCCAGCCCACTTGCCCTTTGACATCCCAACAGCAGGCACTTCCCACTCATATTTCCATTTCTTTTTTGACAGATTTTCAACCTCTGCTTTTGTTAACTTGTGCCCAAAGTGTACATCAAAGGAACTGCATGATAAAAAAATTAAAAAAAAAAATATATATAGTGTATATATGTAATACAATCTGAGGTTGAAAGATAAAAAAACAGATTACCAAATTGGAAATACCTACGAAGTTCTGCCATAAAAATTCATAATCAGATAGCACCAGAAAACAAATATTCATAGACATAGAAGCATTAATGGAAGAAATTCTGAAGATATGGAAGAAGAGAAAATTTATTTGTGGGACAGACTAAGATTCCTTGCTTCCTTGTGTGTGACATTGTCTAAGAACTTTAAGGATGTAGCTTTCAGTGTGATTCAACTTGATTGGTCCCGTACTTAGTTTGGCGCTTTTTTTTTTCTTTTTTTCTTTTTTATTTTTTTTCATTTTCTTGTTGGCCTAATGTGGCTTTTCTTGTTCTGTTTATGTGCGTGTGCATGTATATAATATACATATGCACATGTGTGTGTGTGTGTGTGTGTGCGCATGCACAAAAAGCATTATACTTAGTTTTCTGCATCAAGAACTAAAACCCCCCTTAATACTAGTGGTAGACTAGTGGTATAATCTTGATAACAACAAAATCTGCCCTCCAGGCATCGACTCTAGACTTCTAGTCAGGGTCAATATGTTATCCAATCCAAGCAGCAGGCTATGTAACATTATTTGCTGCAGCACATTCGCAACCACCTCTATTGTCTTCCCACGGTTAACGAAAAAGGAAAATTTATGAATGTCATCCCATTTCAAATATCATATTTACTCGGTCTAAAGAAATTCCCATATTTACTGTAAGAGATCCATTTTTCATACACTCCCAAACACAAAAGTCCCTTGGTCAAATCAAAAACTATTTTGGCTAGCTAAGAAACTTGCTCTTTCCGAGGAAAGGGCAAATGAATTAGAATCTTTAACCATTTTATGTTCACTGAAATACGCTTCAACTAGGCTTCATTTATACCATCTATCCAATTAACAAAATCTAATGTGACAATAAATAACCATGATAAATTGTTATTTATTCTCTGTTTTCCTAAGAAAGTACGAAATATATTGATAAAAATAAATCTTACAAATGGAATCATAGATAAACATAAATCAACCCTACTTCCAATTAAATAGTGTGAAACTACAGCATTCTTTTTGCCCATTCAATCCCATCTAAGGTCATATTCTCACTTAGGTCACACGTTATCATACCTCAAACTTTCTTGTTCGCTCATTCAACCAAACTGTCCATCATCCTATATTCCGTTGGGTCATCCAACTTACACTCTTGTCTCACTTAGCACTCATATTTGGACATGAATATAGGTACTTTACAGCCACATGACACTCAAGATTGTTGGACCCGCAATTAAACTTTAAGCTAGTGGTGATTTACGTCAAGCTTAACACAACACACTGAAAATTTCAACGCATGATAAAAACATAAAATCTAAATAAACACGACATTTCATGTAAATGCACCTCAAGCACATTGATTCTTCAACAGCAGATGGACAACTGATTCCCAGGTAATGTACACCCGAGTCATAGCTCTCCTGGTCATCCAAGTCAGAGGTCTCCAGATCATCCTCAGTTTCAGCATCTTCACTCTGTTCCTCAATACCAGCTATTTCAGGGTCTTTGGGTTTTCCTTTCGTAGGAAATTCATCATCAACTCCTATGTACAAGCATTACAAGGATTAAATAATATGCAGTGTAGATCAAGCTAACAAATAAGGACAAGACAAAAGGTCAAGCTGACTTGCGCTTATACATGTTGTTTATTAAGTTAACCTGACAATAAAAGAGCATAAACACAATGGTGGATAGTTAACCACGTTTACAAGAGCAAGGCGTTCTCCGGCATCAAAACCCAAAAGAATTCATCAAGTGTAGTACAATTGTGGAAATTATTTTGTCATTCAATTGCTCTTCTATTGTGCAAAGGATGTCAGCTCGTGTATATAACAGAACACCAATACTAAAGTACTTCTTTTCTTCCCTCAAACCTAGAATTCCAATTACTACTTACTACATTCCTTTAGTCTCCATGCAGTAGTGTGATCTTTATGAGGAAACAATGCTCACCAAACCCTTGCTCCCCATGGCTCAGTCCCTAAAACTAATTAACCGAATCCATAGTGACGGAATCGGGATTAAAAAAAATAATCCATCTCTACAACACCATAACTCAATTACATAACGGGGAACACCAATACACCGCATAAGAAAAAAAAACAATGTACCGTAAAGAAGATAGACCTCATCTTAATTCATATTGCATAGGAGATGGAAAGGTAACTAAGCATTCATGCAGACTACAATAGTGTCTTCCTTCCATAAAAATATTGATATATGACTATATGAACCTTAATTAGGGGCTTTCGGTTGCTTACATAAAAAGAAAAGGAAAATGAACGAAAAAAGATATGGGGTTCTGGAGACCAAATCATTACGAAAGGAAAATGCACTAGTAAACATCATTTAAAGGGATTTAATATAAATGGGCTGAGACTGCAAACATATTTACCAATGTTTGTATGAAAATCATAAATGCTCTACCTTCTTCACTATCATCCTCTTCATCTGAGTCAATAGAAGATTCAGTCCCATCATCTTCATCCTTTTCTGTGTCACTTAAACCTTCTTCTTGTCTTTTTCTACACAGGAAATAAGCAGATGGTAACATGTTACTTGTAAATTTCTTGAATAAATCAACCTGTTTTAAATAAATGACATTCAGAAAAGAGCATACATATAAATTATACTGCCCAATAATAACTCCAGAAAGTTACATTACTATCAATTAAACGTAAATGTAGCTCAGCTATGAATCCAACTTGGTTGAGCTTTATATTTTTCTCAAGCACAAAGTGTTGACATACCTCATCAAACAAGCATAAAAAAGAACAAAAAAATGAATTCCTTAATGAGTTACAGAGGACAGCAGGGCCATTTTTTTCCTCTTTTTCTTTTGCGAAGTAAAGAAGTCGACAACATATGGAGTAACTGATTCCTAGAGTACACCCTCAAAAGGAGTACTTGACTCCTAGAGGCGCCTAGGAACATTATAAACCATAATTCAGATCCTAAGCTTAGATCTGGCTGAATAGAGCATGACACAGCTAATAAGTGAATACAAGAGCCAAAACATACTTGAACAACCAAAAGTCACCACCTTATGTACACTTCATAATGGGGCCACAAAATTTCTTTTAATTACATACAATAAGTACACACTTACAGACTGAAAATGAATTCAGGAATTTGAGACGAGTGTTACCTTTGTTTATATGCAGCAGCAACAGATTTACTAGATGACCCTAGCGTCATTAACAATTTATCATACATGGATGGCTCTTTATAAACCATTTCGTCTTCAGACACACCGTTAGATTCTTCCTTTGGTAGTTCCCCTGTATTAGAAAAAGTACCCTGATCTTGAATATTCCAATAATTAGGCAACAACATCAACTAAATATCGAAACTCCCTTATGATAGTAATTGGATGCAAACCCTCAATAGTACAACAGGAATCAAACTAACTTGAAGGAAAACAGTGATTATCTCAAGTACTAATTTTAAGGAACAAATTCAGCCCACAAAACAGCTAAAAGGGAAAGAAAAAAGAAAAGACAATTTATTATTAGATTAAAAGTTAAAACTAACACACATTCGGAATCTCCCAAATCACTATAAAGTTCAAATATGTAACATGGCTGAGGAAGTAGAGTTATTATTAAATTAAAAGTTAAAACTAACGCACATTCGGAATTTCCCAAAACACTATAAAGTTAACATGCCTGAGGAAGTAGAGGAGGGGCTATGTGCAACATTTTCTTCCTCAAGACGACGAGTTTTCCTGCCTGTGTTGAACTTGTTGGGTATTTTGCGTTTCCCAAATCCTGTTAAAGAAAGAAAAAAATAAAAAATTGTCTCACCAGTAATTATTGCTTTAAAGAAGAAACGAAAAATATAAACACAAAGCTAAAAGGAAGAATAATACTGAAAGATTGAAGTTTCTAAGATAAGAGAAACATAAAAGATTGAATTATAGTGAATCAACAGGTACTTGGGTCATTGGAAGCCAAACAAAAAACTTACTTGGGTTCTGAGCTGATTGCTTTCCCATATTAAGAACAAAACAGAAACTTCTCTCCAACAAAATCAGTCCAATTTAAACAAACAACCCAATTCTATTGCAGACTTGCAATGCTTGTGGCTCGGTTTTGGGTAGGTGCGGATGCTTCGGCGGAGATGATGAAAAGCGACCGTTTGGGAAGAAGATGAAAAGCGACGGGAGGAGGATTGGAGTTCAAACCCGGAGTTGCTTGAGTTTAATGCGTTGCATAAGAGAGGGGAGGAGGAGTTGTACGGAAGGTTTATGGGGGTTTAAGGTTTTTTTTTTTCTGTTTTTCTTTTTCTTGCTGTATTTCTGGCGGGTTTAAGGATTGGGCAACAGGGTTAAGATTCTAGGGTTTAAGAGCATCTCCGCTCACAAAAGCTAAGTCTAGGGCAAGGGCTGTCACTATTCACGTAAATAGTATCAGCCTTGCCATTTGTGGTTCCACTCATGAGGGCTAAGTCTAGAGCAAGTCTAAGGCAATTACTATTCACTTAAATTTATTTTTTATTTTTTATACTTAAACCATTGATTTTGATAAGCTTTTCAGATAAGATTTTCAATT